TACAGATGGACAATCAGATGAAGAGATACATAGGGTCAGGTCTGGGAGGGTCCTGAGCAGAGGAGCTTCTGTCCCCATGGAAGTGGAGTGCAGCACCCTCCGGGTGTGGATGTGTTCAATCACCTGGAAGTCTCTGAACCCTCAAATATTGGGATTTTATGGCAGCTTCCTCACAGAGGCATGATCAGTATATAACTCCATTTCCAGCCCATTTCCTCTCTGGACTGTGGGGGTGGGGCTGAAAATTTCATGCTTCTAATCATGGCATGGTCTTTCTGGTGACCATTCCGCATCTAGGAGCTCACCAGAGTCGCCTCAATAGAATAAAAGATGCTTGTAGTGCTCTCATTACTTAGAAAATCTTAAGAGTTCTAGAAGCTCTGTTCCAGGAACCAAGGGTCAAAATGAACACACACACACACACACACACACACACACACACACACACACACACACACACACATAATCTAATAGTTCTACAAATGTCAATTAGGTCCATTTTATTGATTTATTACCAATTTTGTAAGAGTTTCTATGTACTCATTTTCTTTCTAATTTTTTTTTAAGGTTTTTATTGGGAATTGGGGGATGGGAACAGCGCTGGGGAATTGGGGGAAGGGGAACAGACAAGCTGCTGTCGTTTTGTTCTTCAGTCTAGTTGTGGAGGATGTCGCTTCACTGGCCCAAGTTGGCACTATCATTGCGCCCTTCCCGGGCGAAGCAGATCAGTCGCCGGCTTCTGGACGGCCACTTACTGCGGCTGCTAGCCGCTCACGCTGGCTGCTGGCCACACATGGTAGCCCATGGCAACCCACTGCAGCAGGGGCTGCAGCCTACGCTGTCGCCAGTGACTTACGGCAGCCTAGCTCCAAATTGAGCTGTTGTTCAGCATCTTAGCTGTAGAGGGCAGTGTCACTGGCTCTCATATGTGGGATCCGAACCGGAGCCCTCTGGCATCCCAAGCCAGCTCTTAACCAATGTGCCACTCGGCCGGCCCAACTTTGTCTTTTTATCAAGATTTTTGTGTGTCCCTTTCCCCCCCTAATTGTTGTTGTTTACATTTTTTCTTTGTTATTATCTTCAAAAGTTTAATATACCACTTTAGTATATATTGATGAGACAAATGAAGAGTTAACAGGAGTGGGCTTATGAGCTGGCAGGATGGGACAGGCAAAGAGTTAACAGGAGTGAGCATGTGGGCTAACAGGAACCAGCTTAAACATTAACCGCTTGGCTCTGACTCCCCTGGCTAGCACTGCACATGCAAGCAGACCAGCACCTTATATCCATTATAGGTGAGAACAGAACAGTCTCCGATCACAGCAGCAACGCCCTGCAAGCTGACATCCATCATAGATGGAAACAGGACAGTTCCAAGAGGAGACAATTGTAACGGCAGCCCCCCTGCAAGCTGGCAAGCACCCTACATCCTGCATGGAAAAATATAAAACCCCAGCACTCCTCAACATGCAGCTGTTCCTATGTGCCCTGGCACATCTCCATTTGCCAGTATCTCTCCCTTACCCCTCTGTCTCAACAGATGTGCCTATTGGGCTCTGTCCTGGCAAAGCTTCCTTTTGCCAGAACTGTCTCTCTGACTTCCAAGAAATCTTTGCTTACTCTTGTAGAGTCTCGTAAATTCGTTTTACATTGTGTGAACGACCAGTGGTCAATTCTACACCAAGACATATATTTTCTTGAAAGTGTTTATGGTTCAATAATTTTAACTTCCAACCATGATGAGAACCTAGAATTCTATATATTTTTTAAGATTTTTATTGAGAAATTGGGGGAGGGAACAGCGTTGAGAAATCAGGGAAGGGGAAAAGACAAGTTGCTGTCCTTTTCTTCTTCAGTCTAGTTGTGGAGGACATCGCTTCACTGGCCCATGTTGGTATTGTGATCATTGCGCTCTTCCTGGCTGAGGCAGATCAGTCACCCGCCATTGGATGGCCACTCGTGGTAGCTCACAGTAGCCCACTGCGGCCCCACTACAGTCTACTTTGTTGCCGGCGACTCCTGGCAGCCCAGCCCCAGGTTGAGCTGTTGTTCATTGTCTTACCTGTAGAGGGCGCAGCATCATTGGCCCATGTGGGATCCAAACCAGCAGCCCTGCTGTTCAGAGATCGCACTCCCAAGGCAACTCTTAACCAACGAGCCACTCGGTCGCCCTAGGACCTGGAATTCCTTACCTCCACTACCTCCCCCAAGCATCATGTTATTCCATTTAAAGTTTTAATTTCTCCTTTTTTCATAACACATTTTTTCCTGATTTAATTTTCTTATCCCTATCTCTGCCCCATCATATTCGGCGACCACGGGCTTGTTTTTCATATTTGGGTTTGTTTATATTTTGTTTTCTGTTTTCTTGCTGGCCTTGTTGATCCCTCCCTATAATAGAAAAGCCTTGTTCTCTCTGACCTGTGAGTGTAGATCTTGTACTCAGAGCCTTCAGTCTAGGGTAATAATGTTTCCTGTAAAGTGTCTTCTTACCTAAGTCAGATTTTTAAAAATTTGATAGTCGTAAATATCATGTGTTTCATGTGTGCTTAAAAATGTATAGTCTCAGGGCTGGCTGAGTGGCTTGTTGGTTAAGAGTTGGCTTGAGAGCGCAAGCTCTGAGCAGCAAGGCCGCTGGTTCGGGTCCCACATGAGGGCCAGTGATGCTGCACCCTCTATAGCTAAAATGTGAACAACAGATCAATCTGGAGCTTGGCTGCCGTGAGTCGCCAGCAGTGGGGCTGTAGTAAGTTGCCATAAGCTATAGTGAGTGGCTGGCAGCCAGCGTGAGTGGCCGGCAGCCGGTGTGAGCTGCCGTGAGCCGCTGTGAGTGGCCGTCCAATGGCCAGCGACCAATCTGCCTCAGCTGGGAAGACTGCAATGATCATAATACCAACATGGACCAGTGAAGCAAAGTCCTCCACAACTAGACTGAAGAACAAAAGGACAGCAACTTGTCTTCCCCATCCCTGTTACCTCCCCCAATTCCCCAGTAAAACCTAAAAAAAATAAAAATAAAAATAACAACAAAACAAAACAATTTAAAAAAATGTAGTCTCTGTTTTCATGACTTCAAGTTCAATTCACAAGGTCAAACTAATCGTGTTTTTCAAATTTTTGAGGTCTTCAGTAATTTTGACATATTTAATCATAATTTGCATGTTATATAATATTACAGGGAGATGTATGAGAAATTTTTGCATTGAGGAAATTCTATCTTTTTCAATATGTTCATTTTTCTCCCAGCAAATTTTGCATGCAACAAAACTTCCCAAGAACAAGATGAATTCTTGATTTTTGCCTATTATTGGCTTTGCCTCCACTATTCTGAATTTGATGAAAGTTCCACCAAAAGCATTTATTTGCTTGAGAGCATGGGAATCCATGTTGAAATCTTTTTCATGCTATTTTGGCTGGTGTCACAGTATTCCATAACTGTATCATCTCCATAATCTACTTTTGAAAGATCCCCAAATCTTTTACCAAGATTCTGTCCCTTTAAAGCCATGTTTAGGAGACAAATGTATGGAATGATTTGATAAAACGATTGGATCAAAGTTTTACTTACATCAGCGTAGGCCATAAAGATTATAACTGAGGGTGCATATTATAAGTATAATCAAATTAGAAATCTATCCAAAAGGTTCCATTTTTCAGACTGGAACCAATCCTTGCCAGTGTCAAACTCAAAATTTACAATAAAGATGGGAAAGTTTTGATCCATTCTTCGCTGATAACCAAACCTCACAGGTATATATGTTAGAGAAAAAATTTTACAAACATAATGAACTTAAAAAGTCTTTATGGGCAATAAATCTTCACTAATCATCCAAAACTCATACCGGGAAGATCTGAAAATTGAATGATTGGGCTGCATATGAAACCAACAGGAAAGCATTACTAAGCATCAGTAAATATACATCTAAGAAAAACCTTAAAACTATAAAGTGGTGCGAAGCCATTTAGCTTAGGTGGTTAGAACGCAGTGCTGAAAACACTAAGATTGTGGGTTCAGTTCCTACATGGGCCACTGACCTGCGCACTCCATAAGTACTTGAAGACAAATACTTTACTTGGAGCTGATGGAGCCTGGAAAAACACACTGTTCCCCAATAAAATTTCTTCATATAAAGTAGATAGGAACGATCTTATCTAAAATACAAAGCTAATGAAAAACAATAGTCTATAACAGCGGTTCTCAACCTGTGGGTCGCGACCCCTTTGGGAGTCAAATGACCCTTTCACAGGGGTCGCCTAAGACCATCGGAAAACACAAAGATATTTACATTACGATTCATAACAGCAGCAAAATTACAGTTATAGAGTTGCAACAAAAATAATTTTATGGTTGGGGGTCACCACAGCATGAGGAACTGTATTAAGGGGTCGTGGCATTAGGAAGGTTGAGTACCGCTGGTCTAAAACCAATGAGAGCGGGGGCCGGCCGAGTGGCGCGATGGTTAAGAACTCGCTTGGGATGCCACATATGAGGGCCAGTGACACTGCCCTCTACAGCTAAAATGCTGAACAACGGCTCAACCTGGAGCTGGGCTGCTGTGAATCGCCGGCGACGGCGTGGGCTGCAGTCCCTGTGGCAGTGGGTTGCCATGGGCTACCGTGTGCTACCGTGTGTAGCCAGCAGCCAGCGTGAGCGGCCGTCCAGAAGCCGGCGACTGATCTGCCTCGCCCGGGAAGAGCGCAATGATGGTGCCAACTTGGGCCAGTGAAGCAACATCCTCCACAAGTAGATTGAAGAACAAAACGACAGCAACTTGTCTGTTCCCCTTCCCCCAATTCCCCAGCACTGTTCCCATTCTCCCAATTCCCCCAATTCCCCAATTAAAAAAAACAAACAAAAAAAAACCAATGAGAGCGAGGGACAGAAAAGCCCCGCCCTGCCCCAAGCCTGAACCCACCCCTTCCCCTGGGTCTGACCATCCCTCCAGAGGCCCCCACCCACTTCCGGTCAGGAATCCCGCCCCTACATTGTATTTGCGCTGAGCCCAGGCCCCGCCTGCGGCCCAGAATCTTTGGCGGTGTTGCCGGGGAGATTTTTGCAGAAGGGGAAGCTGCCAAGGCAGAGAGAAGGCCTGGTTGGCTACCGTGACTTTCAGTGTTTGTGGTTTAACCCTGAGCAGCTCAGTCCACCGTCCTACACTCCTGACGCCTGGGGGTCAGTACCGACGTTGAAGTCCCCGCACCCGCGCCCCCTACAGCGGTGAGTCCGGTGTCCTGGGGAGACATCCCGATCCCAGGCCGCTTCACTGCCGGGTGGAGGGTCCGCATGGGTTTCCGGGTAAACAGGCCATTCGTTCCCCTGTGTCCTCTCCGCCTTCGGGCCACTAGACCCCGCCTGCCGCGTTGTTTTCCTGCATAAAACCCCCCACCGGGCAGCGCTCCAGCGCGCGGTGTGAAGTCCTGGGAGACAGACTCGGGAGACGGAGTCCGGCCGTTGGCGCCCCTCCCCCAGCCTCGCCCCGCGGCCCCGGGAGCCCGGCCTCCTCCCTGCCTGGGGCTCTGCAGACCCTCTCGGCCGCCTGGAGACCCCCCTCGTCCCGGTTTAATAAGAGGCCCGAATCTCAGGAAGAGAACACTTTTCAGGGGGGTGGGATTTAGGAGGGAACACCGCGGGGTGTCACCAGGTCACCCCCTCACGCGGGGAGGGGCTTTGTGCAAGCCGCGACTGTGAAGGGCAGGCCCGGAAATCGGCAGAACGGGGGGCTGTGAGCGGGTCCCGAGAAGGAGACAGAATGAGGAATAGACAGGTGAGAGGACAGGAAGATCAGTGCGGGGTCCGTGAAGAGCCGGCAAAACAGAGGATGTGGGAGGGACTTGTAAAGCGACGGTTAAGACCGAGCGAGTAACTCGGGGAAGTAGCCAGAGGAGAAAGCAAATGGAGAAATATAGAGGGAAGGGAGTGTTCGAGAGAGATGAAGGGGAGCCAAAAGGGAGAGGGGCCCCTGGTTAGCAGAAGTGGGGGGAACAAAGGACAAGGCTCCTCCGACGGAGAGAGGGGTTAGGAGAAGAGCTGGGGGAGCCGAGTGCAGGAACAGAAAGGAGCGGGGCGGGGGGGTGACAGCAGAGGGAGAAGCCGCACCGAGAGCTAAACTGGGGGTGTCAGTGAGTCGGGGCACAGGGGTATAAGAGGAAAGACAGTGTCACCGGGAAGAGGAGGTGCACAGGGACGGGGAGAAAGAGGCAGAAATATGTGGAGATGGGGAGCAATCAGATCAGGGAGAAAGAGCAACTGAAGGTGAAATAGGTTTCAAGAGTTTCGCGGAATAGAGAGAAAGGGAGAAATCAGGTGAGGGAGAGGGGGCCAGGAAAGGACATTAGTGGAGAGAATCTGGGTGGCGAGGAACACACAGGAGTACACAGTAGCAGAGGAAGAAGGGGTGCCCCTACCCGGATGCTCTGTGAGCTGGTGGGGTGTGGGTGATCAAATCATGATATATATTGATTGTGACTTTATCAATAATTTAATTTTACACGTGCTGCATTTCCAGTCACATAGATAGAATGATAATTACAAAACTCTAGTTTATAAGGCTTGTGCGTTCAATAATTTTATCACCCAATTGATTCTTTGTGCAATGCTCATGCACCCAGAGAGGAGAGACCTGTGTCAGTTAGTCATGGGTCCCTCCTTATTTCCTGGGATGCCATGAAGGATGTGACCTGGGAAAAGAAATGACTGAGTCTGTCATCGCATGATGCCTTTTCAAGGAATATTAAAAAGCATTGTGTCTTTTTTACTTTACGTGGAATTTACTTGTTTCTTTCTAGTTCTCTTACATTTGATTCTTTTTTTTTTAAGCACATTAAATTAAATGCTACTCTCCTGAATTGCTGTCTTGTTCTAAATAGTCACTAACTGCTGGAATTAGCCTGGGTAAATATCTCACTAGCAGCCCTAATACTTTTCTAAAGATGAGGTACACTCAGTATTTTTTAAATTTTGACCCTAGAAGTCATTACAGTAAAAAACATGTGGAATGAATTTCCTTTCTGATAACATTGTGTCTAGTTTAGACAGAAGCCCTGCATTGTTTCTACACTTTATCATGTCGAAAAATCCATTGGTACTTAATAATATTAGGCCACTTCAGTGTGCATTTCGTGAGGATGTCCGCTTGAGAACCTAATGTGGTGAGTTATTCTGATATTCAGCAGCTTTTGTCTTTTGTTTATGAGATTAGTGAAATTAGTGAGCTGAGAACTACCAAGTAGCTGTCTCCTCAAGTCTCTCTTGTTCATTCTCTGAAAATGTGGAAAGATGGACAGGCCTGAAACTTGGTTCCCACTGAGCCCACCGTGAAGTAATGTGATCTATGTATTTTCATAGCTAACCCTTGTAACAAGTTTTTAGCACCAAAGTGTGTGTTTATTATTTTATGGTTTTTACCTAATTCTCTGTGATTTGCTGGAAAACAGGAAGGAAATACGCGCGGGGAGCCAGCACTTCTAGTATTCCCAGCCTAACCCCCACACTCTCCAGAGCTCAGGAGTGCAGAGTCTGAGATGGAGTGAGATCTGTAGCCCAGTGTGACAGGAAACAGGTCTGGGGAGCAAGTCAACACCCCCAGGAGACTTAAAGATGCCATTTCCTGGGCCCCCTGCAGACCTGCAGAACCGTAACTCCTTAGAGTGAGCCCTGATCCCCCAGGGACCTGCATGCTCATTGAAGCGAAGAGCTTCCATCCAGGTGCTCCTAGATTGCATGCGAATTTCCAGGAGTGATGTCACCTGTTCCCTCCCCCTGGGAGTTGGAGAAGGGGTCTGGGTGGAGCATCATTGTTGTTGAAGTGAGGTGTCCCAGGTGACTCTCAGGTGAGGCCAGAGGTTAGCTGGGGGCTCCTGGACACTGTTCTGACTCTTGAGAGCCGGCTTTGGTCAAGGTGAGGTAGTGGGGTACTATGTTGGGTCTTTGGGGGCAGGAGTGCACACTGTTCTCATTGCTGTAGAAATTTGTGAATACCTGTGTGTGTGTGTGGGAGGGGGGCGCGGCGGCAGGAGAAGTGAGAGGGGGCAGGTGAAGACAGGAAAGAAAAAACTCACACTTCTGTCTTCACTTAGGAGCTCCGTGTCCCTCACTGTGTCCTGCGACATAGGACAGCAGAGGGCGGCATTTTCCGTATTTCAAAGTCTTTCTGCCTCTGAATGTAGGGAAGCTGATAAATGGGCCTGTGCCCATGACCTTGAAGGCACATTCTCAAGATGTAGATGTGATTCCTCCCCAGAAAGTCTCCTGAGGAAACAACCCAGAGCTGGAGGAGGACGAGGACGAAATGGCTGCTTCTCAGGTAAGCGTTCCGTCCTGGGTCACAGCCTATGTCTGCTGTTCCGTATTGGGCGGGGGTCAGGGCGGTGTCAGATGCCCAGTCCTGAAGAAGGGAGGTGTAGGTGCGTGTCTTTGGACTGCAGCATCAGGGCTATTGAACAGGGGTAAGATCATGCACAACAACCCAGGTGGCCTCAGTGCTCAGAATAGCCCGGAAAGTTCTGGAAAAAAAAAGTAATTGGAAGAGACTTGTCACTAGTTTGGTAAGACTGACTTACTTTTTAAATGCACTGTTATAGAGTTGCGGAATACGGGAGCTATATGTGCATGGAAATTTGCATAAAAGTAATGTTTTTATGATCAGATTTAGATTATGATTTCCTTATTTGTTCATTTTTGCCAGTAACATGACAGCAGTGATGCTGTGTCTTCCGTGTGCCTCGGCCAGCTGATGCCCATTTGTTCCTTCCACCTCATTTTCACTTGGTTGAGGTCTTGTCTTCACTATAAAGTTAACATTATTTCTTTATCATTATTAAGGGTCTTGAGTGCTTTATAGAAAAATGTGCAAAAACCATCACATTTCATCTGGAAACTCTCTTTTTTCTTAGTTTCTCTTCTTTGGAAACTGAAGCCCCTGAGCTTTCTTTACTAGAGACAATTGGCTTTTGAAGTGGAAGTTTTAATGAGTCAGGGCTCGTTCCTGTAAATTTTCATTATATTCCCACTCATGTCACAGACATTCTCTACTTTATCACTTTTTGTGTTTTCAGGAAATTTTACAAGAATCGAATTACTACTGTGTTGAAGTGGCAAATTTGTAACGTATAGGACAGCACAAATTGTAAGGGTGAAATTCAGGGAATCAGCAACCGTTAGACTTAAGCTAGTTTACAGTTTGACTCACTGTATAGCTTGCTATCTAGCCACGTGTAATTAGACTTAGTTTGTTTACAGTTTGATCTATCCTGATGTTCATCTTTTTTCTCTTTGTTTCTCCCCTCACTGATTAACTGGAGAACTCTGTTTGGTCCCTTTCTCAAGGCTACTCATACCTCATTAATTAGCAACATCCTAACCTGTAAAAGGCAAATTCTTAATCCTCAGGCGACCGGATATTGGAATTCAATTTATAACTTCTTGCCATTTTTACTGGTTACTCATTAAAGTCCCTGGCCTCTATGGCCGAGTCCAGAGTCCAGATACCGGAGATACATCATCTTCAAACAGACCAGACTCCAGGAAGAATGAGGATGTCATCCTTCAAACCTGCCTGACTGGCTCCCCTTTTCCTATGTAAGAAAAAGCTCTCCTAAAGTTTTAAGTTCCGCCATCTATGAGGCACTGCCCTCGCAAAGGAGTTGGTCAGTATTTCTCTCTTCCTAGCTTTAATAAAACCTGTCCTTGAAGTTCCGCTTTGTAGAGTCTTGTGTGAATGCATTCACCTTCTGTGAACGACCAGGGATTAATCCCACAGCATGACACAAATGATATACATTTTTTTTATCAAACAAATGGCATCTCTAACTTATTTTATGTTACTGTGTCTTCCTCTCCCTATTGTGTTTCTAAAATACAGAGTATCATCCACAAACACATTTATGAGATTTACACAATTGAAAATAATGATTTCAGTGACGTATTTCCTTCTCTGTCACATGTAATGTGCACATAGTTCCCATATATGTGTCTGACTATGCGTATAAAACAATATTTGAATTATTCTTCTTACTTGCATTAGTTGGTTCTGTTCTTCTGAGTTATGGAAACTGCTATGAATGTTCATGAGGGTCATCTGCGTATTGGTCTGGACCTTTTCGATAACTTCACCAGACAGCTTGGAGTAAAACCCAAGCTCTACCATTCATTGGATGCTTCACAAAATATTCTCATACAAGAGAAAGAGTCAGATTTTTCTTAGATTACCTATGTTCTTTATGAATTAACATATAAAAAACAGAATGTTCTGTATTATGCAGTGCATTTGCAAAAATTTATTTGTATTCCTATGCTTCTGTGACAAGTAGAAATTCCATAAAGCTGGCAGTTTTGAGTCATGTATGAGTTTTCCTTTGTTTCCATCCTCTGTGCTATTTAACAGTGTGACACACGGACCAGAGACACTGGTGTCACTAGTTAAAAGTGAATTTGTTAAATGTGGAAACTCAGGCCCCACCCCAGAACTCCTCATTCGGAATCTGCATTTTTACGGCAGTCCATTTCCTTGTTGTCCATGTGAAAATTTGAGAAGCAATTTGCATTTCTAACTCCCCATGAAATGTACACAATGTATCCTGTATGATACAGATATAACACTCAGAAAGCCATATGCCTGTGTTAATGGCTGAATTTAAATCTATCGTTTAGAAAAAAGATTTCTTTCTACAATGGTTTGTGGATCATACATCATCCTTTCTCACAGAAGAAAATACTGAAGAATATCACTGTCAGTGACCTTCGTGTTCCATTCCGGACACGCTCCTAGGTCAAAACCAGTTCTCTTAACTCTGTTTTCATATTGAGTCATGTTATGACCTTGTCCGTGGCCACGTGGTAAATGTGTCTTTTGTTTCAGGGACCGTTGACATTCATGGATGTGGCCATATATTTCTCTCAGGAGGAGTGGGAGTGCCTGCACCCGGCTGAGCGGGAACTGTACATGGACGTGATGTTGGAGAACTACAGGAACCTGTGCTCCCTGGGTGAGGCTGACTTTCTTCCAGAACTCCTACCCCACCGCAGGGGTGTGTTTCCTTCATCAGTACAGCGTCTCCTGGGAGCTTGTGCTCTGTGTGGTAGTGTCAGATCCCGGCTCTGAGTACCACCTGGGGATTTGCTGGTGTAGAAAAGAAGTCTTCATGATGTCCTTGAAGTGGAATTCAGGATTTGAAAACATTCCATGATGTCTAGTAGAGTCAAGGTGCTGTCAGAAAACAGTGTTTTGGGGAATCCATTTCTCAAATATTCTAATTTTCTTTCTTTTCACCTGAATGCATACTGGATTGGAAATTGGAGAATCTCTATCAAAACTCATGTTCCTTGTACTAATAAACAGGTCTTGCTGTCTCTAAGCCAGACCTGGTTATCTTATTGGAGAGAATGAAGGCGGCCTGGGATGTGAAGCAAAAAAAGACAGTAACCATCCACCTAGGTAGATGGGAATGAAGGAGGCAGATGAGACAGGTGAGCGGGCCAAAGGTCCTTTGTTAGGTCCGTACTTCTTCAAAATGACCTAAGAGACAGAGTTTTCGTTCCAAAGAGTTTATTCAGCCAAGCTTGGCGACCACCTCACTCTGCAAGAGGAGAACAGCCCCGAGGTCTTGGTGGGTGGAAGTTTTATAGGGGCTTGATTTCCGGGGGTTTGAACAGAAGCCAGGTGTACAGAAGCAAAAAAAAGTAGTTAGTTTTTGCTAAACATCCTAAGCCAGGTGTGAAAATGGGTTATCTGTAAAACAATCTACTGTTGTAACCTAATTCTTGCAAAGAAGAGCTTCTACTGTCAGTCATAACTGCATCCTGGCAACTTTAAAAGGATGTTCTGCTATGCTTAGCTGAAGTATGACTTTTTCTTATTCCTCAGGGCGGGGGTATTTTCTAAACTGGGCTTGCTTCATCTAGGGTCTGGTCTGGGTCCTCACATTCCCCACTGGTCTTATGTAAGGAATCAAATTGTTGATTCCAAGTCCTGGAGGGGAGAGTATTGACGGCGGAGGACTAGGAGCTCAACTTGATCGACCTGCCGATGAACGAAAGCAGTGAAAGTGTTAAAGAAACAGGGTACAACAAGGAAGGCGAGGAGTAGAGTAACTAGCGGTCCTACCAGGGCAGAGATGAGGGTTGTGAACCAAGGAGACCAGTTACAAAGTGACTCATTGTCTCTAACTGAGGCCAAAGTGTCGCAGATGACTCCTGATCGGTTAGTATAGAAGCAGTAGGTCTCTCCTAGGGCAATGCAGAGACTACCTTGTTTTGTTGTTGGGTAGAGGTGAGAACAGGAATGGGGTAGGAATAGAAATCTGTCAAAAACGGGAATGGAAACTGCTGGGCTCAAAACAGGAATTATTTGGCTTGGGGCTTATAGCTAGGGTCTCAGAGAAGGGGTTCTCTAGAAGGGTTTGGGGTGGGGTGCAACTCCCAAAGGCAGTGGGGAGGGAAAACTGGGGGTGATCTGGACTGTATGGAGGGGGAACAGGGTTAGGATGGCACAGAACGCGACAGTCTTAGCTTTAAGGAGTCCGGCGAGGTGTCCCGAGGTGTCCTGGACCCTTTATGGTTCCTGGGCCATCCTTAGTCGAGTAAACCTTTCAGCCGTTGGGATGGTGAGGATAACGGTGTACGGCCCGTTAAAGGAGGGAGTCCCGAGTCTCCGGGTTGGAAGGGACAAACAGGGTCCAACGGGGGAACAGGCAAGGCATCCCAGATGACTCCATAGATATTCTTTTGTGTGGTATGGAAGGCCTGTAGGGACTTGAGTAAAGATTGGTTATGGATTTTAGTCTGTAAGTTTTGAGCTCCCCACTGGTCTTTTTGGGCGGCCTCTCTTGCTGTCTAGTATGCTTTTAACTGTCTGTCTTGTTTTCCCTTAGAGACGCGATCCCCATAAAATCTCTGTGGGAAGCTGAGGGACAACAGGTCTCTTTTGTATCTGCTTCCTGCTGGGTAGGGGCGTAGAGCTGTCCCTACCTATTGGGGGATTTATGGAACTCTTATCCTATCTGATCTTAGATGAGAAGAAGGGCTCCTGAGATCTGCCTGGAAAACTATGCCGGCCTCTCCGGCTGGGACTGGCTTCATTGCTGGGGCACTGCCCGTATCTCCAAAGCCCTTAATTGTTGGCAGATCCTGGAAGGCTCAATCTCCAAACCTTGAGAAGGACCTCCGACCATGTCAAACTGAGGAAAGCAACAACGAGTAGCTGTAGCAGTTCAGCTTGAACAGGAGTCCAAGGTTTTTAACTGGCTCCCAGGAACATGAATGATAGTCTTTCTTTGGGGAAGTCCTGTGGAGACTTAAATGAAAAGGTTAATTTAAGGGAAGTGCACCTAGTTATTGCCTCTGGAGCCTAACAGCTGTTGGTACAGAAAATTGTACAGGGTTTTTTCTGTATAGGAACTAACTGGTCTGTTAGAGGCCTTTTTCTAGGCTTTTAATAATATTTTATATTTATTTTAAGATATAGACTAATGGTAAGGAACAGGCTGAGTAAAGTCTAAATTCGGGGGCTCTCTGTGTCTTGGCAACCGAGTAGTGTTTAGACAACAAAGAAAAAGGCCCAGACTGAGTAGTTGAGACAGAATAAATAGCTTTTATATTAATTAGAAAATTAACAGGGTTACCTGCCACGTCAGGGTTACCCATAGTTTTACCCCTGTGATGGGAATAGCTTGGGAGCCGCTGGGAGCTTTAGGCCTGTAGTTACTTATAGCCCCTTGTGGGGAGGAACTTGCTCCCTGCTCCCTTCAGAGCAGGGGACAATCCCTCCTCCAGGGCCCTTTAGTTTGTACAGAGAACACGTCTGTTTAGTAAGATCAGGATACATTTTATTCCAGCGGTCTGGCCTTTTATATCCAAAGCTGGCTCCTTTATCCGGTGTTTCCTCTTTTGGGGCTTATGGGGTGCCCTGAGGTGGCTTTAGCCCTGGGTGGTTATAACTGTGGCTAAAATCTGGCCTGGCTCTGGCCTTATCTTCCACTCTGACTGTTCCTTTATTTTTATCTTAGCTGTTAAAGATATGTAAACAACTTCCTGGCCCCTTTTTTTTTTAGGATCTGAGCCTCTTTACCAGGAGGTAACAGTGGGCCAGAACTATTAGAATATCCTTTCAGTTAAGGGAAAATATTAGTCTAGGCTTCCCTACGTTGGCCTATATTTGATACCAAGGAACGTGTATGAGCTCCAGTGGTTTTAAAATACAGAAGTCTATATAGCTACCAGCAAAACTCAACTCCTAAATTTAATCCCTTGAGCAACCAAAGACCTGATTGAGACAATACAAAACATAGAAAACTATTCTGATGACATACAAGCTTTACTTTTTAGGCAGAAAACCTTTTTTATAACATTAGTAGTAGACCAGCAATTTAACAAATTTTATCCCATCCAGCAAAAAGGGAAAACTCAATTAACCTTGTATTAGCTTTCTTGTGATATCCAGACTTTTTCAAACATATCTAGTTTAACCATACATAAAATTTTCCCCAAAATGTTTTTTTTTTACATTTCTTCTACAACTTGTCTAGATCCTTTCAGCCTGTCCCATTTAGAAACAATCATCCCCAGGACAAACCATCCTCTCTCAGTTCCTTCAAAAGTGTGCCTTTACATCCTATACCTTTCTTGTATTTTTTTATATCAAAATCTATAACCTTTAAGACCTTAATTTTTACTGACAACTAAAAGTAAGTAACCAATATTTTCATTAGCAAATTTACAATACATTTTGCAACCTTTAGAAATATAGGTTTTTTTAAAATAAAATACAAGACATATCTATTAACAGATTTTAATTTATCTTTTAGTTTTCCTGTGACAAGAAGACAAAAATAGATGAACTCAGACCTATCTGATAATTAATATTTTAGTATTTCATTATCTTGAAATACCTAGATATTTAATCACTTTTATTATTTAGCATAACTTAGTAAAATTAAAATCTTAAGTTATCAACAGATGTTGAGAAACCATATTCAATTATCTATATTATATAATTACTATTGAAAAGTTTTATCTAGAACGTTATTTTTGACAAATTTGTGACAGATAACATGAATTTATTTCTGTAAACTCAGGTAAAAGAAAAGATATCATAGTTAATGTTAATAACTTTAGAGATATATTTATGTGACTGAAAGTTAAACCGGCCTTAGCATCGAACATATTTTTCGAATACATTATCCTGAAAAGTACCTGAGTTAATTTTAAGCTACTTAACTATTATCTGGTAATGCTATCTAGAGGTAAAACTATTACCTTATATAAAATACAGATAAGTATGATTATTAGAGATTATGTATATAAACAGAGTTATTAACAATTGTAAAGAAGTTGTAAGATCTTATAATTACCCCTACAAGTGCAAAGAGGCTGGAGCAAGCGCTGGGTGTCTGGCTTGAAACTTAGCCGCTTGGTTTTAAAAGTGTCTCTTTTATTTTTATTTTTTTTTGTTACCTCAGCCTCAGGCTTTTCTGGTTACAAGTGAGGAGATGGGTGGGGTCTCCTTTTCTCTGAACTATCAGTTTAGTTCCCTTTTTAGAATTTATTATAGAGGCTTATATATGAGAAATCTTATTTTATTTCCCAGACCCTCTAACAAATTAATTTTATTTATAAGATAGTACAATTTAATGAACTATAGAGTGACCAGCACCCTCCAGAATTTAAATATACATTTGCCAGTAATACTGTAATACAACATTAATTTTTTTTGGTTAACAGCTTATAGCTATAGTTTTTCAATGGCCTAATATTTTGCCCAGTGGGCTCCTAGTTGGGATTGAAACTGAAAGTCAATTTACATGACAAGATGGGGATCGGGGAAGAAACTAGGGGAGAACATTAAGGAGGTGCTGAAGAAATAGACAAAAAGGACAACAAGAAACATGGTCCATACAAGAGACTTATCCAAATACCAGGTTTACCAAACAGATTAAAAAGACAACAAAAGACAGGGACCATGTGACAGACATTTGTTAAATATTAGGTGCACCCCCTGTGTATTCCTTTACCAGAACCAAGGTGTAACAACCCCTTGTACCAATTAACTAGACCAGAACCAAGTTCTACTAAACAGACTGATAGAAACATAGAAGACAGACAGGGCCCATCCAAGTACCAGGTTTATTTATGGGGAACATAACAGGTTTACTTATAAGATTATGAAGAACAAAACAGGTCTCCTTAACGGAACGTGAGGAATTTACCAAGTCCCACTGCTGACGCCTCTGGAGGTGTCCCATCTCTCAGGGACAAGAATTAGACATCGAACAAAACATAAAACTGACTTTCTAGAGACAGACCAGGCAATGAGAAGAACAATAGAGACAAACACGGTGCCAAAACAGATAAGACGGCACAAACTCCTCCAGGAATCTAGAGGAGAAGGCCAGTAGTCACCATGTGTGACATTTCCTGACCCAAACAACAACAACAACCCCTGGGCCA